AATAAATTTTAAAAGTACACATTTAAACAATTCGTAATTATTTTGTAAATAAAAATCATACTTAACGATATGCAACGAATAATAAGAAACTATGACTTTAAGCTTTTAAAAACATATGTCGTTTAAACAGAATGTCTTTTCAAAAATGTATATTTATTTGAGCAAATGATTTAAGGATGTAATAATTTATAATATATATAATATATATAATGAATATATTATAAATAATTATAATATTATCATCGTTTCTTTTATATACATAGAAAGAAGGTTGAGTATTTATTATTTTTATTTTTTCTGATTCTCTACAACGAAGAATATGTTAGCAAAAATATAAATAGAAAATACTTAATCATGTAGTTCAAAAATTTTCTCCATGTCAAAATGAAAAAAGACGCCAATGTATGAGTTAAAAATTAGCATTCGAACAGGATATACACAATTATGATAATCGTTTGTGATAATCTGAGAAAAATATTGCTACCGATTTTATTCCACTTTTCATCGGTTAATTACATATATTTTTTAAACATTTTTCATAAGAAAAGAAGAAATAATTACAAGCAAATGCATACAATTAAAAAAAAATATATATTATTGGAAAACAAAAGTAAGTGGCTAGTAATATACGTTTAGCTTCAATTCTGTACACGTTAATGACATAAAATTTTTGACGATGGTGCATCAGTTCATAGTTATAACGTTAAGTAGCTAGTTATAATGCATAGTTATAATGTTAGTAGGATAGAAAAGTTCAGTTAGATGGCACAAAATAGGTTACAGAAATCACTAGTGTATAACTATGTTTAATGTCATAAACATTTTAATGGGACTTCATTATTACGATGAAAAGTCTTTTATAGCTTCACGTAATTCTCGCGAACAATATTACGAACTTGTACCTATATTACCTGTAGTTTCCACAGGATGTAAATGATATAGGTATATCAACCAAATACTTTATATCACATTTTGTTCTGATAGAAACTTTGTATAAACGTAAATTCAAATTCTGTTCTTTTTTCATATCAAAAGGTGTTTTAAAATTTTACAAAAATGTCTGCCACACGTGGAATTAGTATCTGCTTTACTAATGGCATTAATTGTTTCATAAAATAAAATTACTTTACTTGCTTTACTAATAAAATTAATTATTTCGTAAAATAAAAAGATAATGCTTGTAGTCGTGAAACTTTGCAACGTTAAAGGCAGTGTATTGTACATTATAATAAATAAACTTTATCCGAATGTCTAAAGGCAGTTTTCATAAACTTTTAATTTCGATAAAAGCTTATATCTGTGAAACAAAAATTTCTGAATATGCATTAGAGGATAAGTTTTTCTTATATTTAAGCAGGTATTATTCGACTATATATACTAGATCATTCGGAATTTATTTGAAAATGGATTAATATTAATTAATAAGAATGACTGTTTTAAATGTTTTAAAAAGTGTTTATACAATTAGATTTTTGTTTAGAAGGAAGTAATTTTTATACCTAATCATCTTTTAGTTATTACATTTTGGATAATGTTCTTTACTTTCATCACTCGTTGTATACTATACTAAAAATTATGAATTCAAAGTGTAAATAAATAATTGTAAATGATATTTAAGTCTTAACATTTTTAAAGAACTGTGTTTATAAACATTTCTTTCCTAGTATTTGAGAATTAGGATTAATAGTAAAACTTCTTCCAATTTAACAAACATTGGTATATTTTTATAAGCAAATATTTATTCTGCAATGTTTATCTTGCAATAAATTATGTTTTACGAATAAGTGGTTTTAATATTCAATTACAATTGTAACATCTTCACTTATGTCCAACTGATCTCTATGAAGTGAGTTGTACACGAAGTTATACACGAATTCGAACATATATGTACACGTATATAAAGTCAACCATATTATACTTACGTTTATTTCCCATTAACCATATTTTTGTATATATGTTTTATAAATATTCATGAACTCACGAAGAATTATAATTTCTATTTTTATTCTATTTATAAATCTCAAATCAATCGTTGAACCTAAACTCACTATGGTCAAATAACCGGTGAATGGAAAAGAAGCAGAAGCCTTAAAAATGGAATAATGTAATAATGAGATTTTAAGAAAATAATTATACAAATATTGGAAGAAAAATCGTGTGGACGAGTGATTCAGGTGAAAACGTTGAATTTTTAACGAAAGTTTAGGAAACAAGGATTTAGACGATAGTGTAGGTCAGTGTTAAAGGGAATGCTATATCCTTTTTATTCCTAACTTAGCAGTGCTTGTTGAGATTCCAAAGAGGTGCTATTTTTCTAACATCTTAGGTTCTTTCCAAAATATTCCAGATAAAAAGTCCAGATAAAATTCCCAATCTGTATATATCATATATAAATATATACCCACATATATACATATAAAATTACAAACCTTTTACACACACTAGATTTAGCGTTAATTTCTATATTTCCTTTTTCAACTTTCTAGAATATAAACACAATATAAATCATACTTAATATAATATACCATTTTAAAACATTTATATATATATATATATAATGCAATACAAGGAAACAGTTCACACTCGAGCAAACTGCGCAAGATACACATTTTATTAGTATTTAACCCTTTGCACTAGAGAGGCACCTTTCAGTCGCCATTTGATAAAATTTCGAAACTCGATATTAACCTTTTGCACTCGAGAGGTGAGCCTAAGTCACCGTTTAATCAAACTCCAAAGACCCACGTTAATTAACATATCAAATCTAAAATAACCTAAGATTGCATAGAATGTCGAAATAAAATAATTTTAAGACTTAATTTATACCCGGTTCCTTATTTACTGTTTCAAAAATATCCTCGACGTTACAGCAGAAAGTCTTTGAATTGCTATTTCTCTGTAAGGGTTAATTAATATATCAAATTTAAAATAATGTAACAGTGTGCGAGGTTTCAAAATTAAATAATTCTATGCGTTAATTATTATACAATTTCTTATTTATTGCTCAAAAAATATCATCAGTCTTATAGCAGAAAATTTTTCAAATCGTACTCTTTTCTAGCCAAACAATCGTCGAGCGCAAAGGGTTAATAATATAATTAATTTCTCCAAAATACACGTAAATCACTCTTGTGAATAATGAGTGCATCTTACAGAATTTCTTTAAACGATAATCATAAATTACAAGCTCAACATCCATCAAAAATAATTATACAATTTATCCGTTTCACGCGCTAATAAATAAAACTGGAAATTTATCTGGGAAAAAGAAAGAAATCGTTGAAAATCCTTATATAGGAATTATAAGAAAAGAATAATTTCTCGTGTTCACATCATGCATGTTAGATTATACCCGGTTAACACGTTGAGCCTCCGGCGTCGGTCCCCGGGGACCGACGGTGGACTTTTCGTTTGGACAGCATTGGTCCATGGGACCGACAGTATTGTAGAATGGCGAAAACTGGTTGGCCAATTTAGAAGTATTGGGATTATGAGTTTGTAATTGTAAAATACCTAGGATAGTAGGAATTGTTTAGGAGGCAGCAAAACGACGGTGGTAGATAACAAAAAGTATAATTTAAGACTTATTCTAAACGCCATGTTTATTGATTCTCCGTTAGAATTTTTTACCCTTTTAAAAATTACGTTTTCCAATAATTTTGTTGACACAAAATCTTCTTGTTTTATTTCATTTACAATAAAGTTATTACCTTTCCGGCACTTTTTGATAATATTATAATAATCTTGGGAGACAAACAGTAAATTATTTTTTTTAATGACATTTCTATCACGTCAAAATCTCTATTATTTGGTAAAAACGAATGTCCTGATATTAAGAATTTGTGATCTATGATTTTCCAAAAACTGAGGTTAACTTGTTAAATATTAATTAATTAAAATTACCTTCGTCACTGCCTTCGGACATTATCAATAATAAATATCTCAATTTAAGTATAAATGGACTTAGATCACTTTCAAAATAATCATGAAATCATAAATAATATTTCCCACTCGCTCTTACTTTTGAAAAATTTCAGTGTAAAGTATTCCATGTATAAATCTGAATTACATGTTTCAACACGACAAAAAAAGCTGATAAAGAATAAACATAATTGCTTAAAAATTAATCGAATTTCTAATCAGTTCTGTACCGAGGAATCGCTACATGGATATCTAAAATTATTAAATAACATATAAATATTGCCATGTTTGAGAAAGCGTTTATTGGGCTTATGGGTTCTAATTGTAAAATAACTGCGATATATATTGTAGGATGGCGAAAACTGGCTTTGAGACACCGAAAATTGACAAACAACAGGAACAGAATAACACAAACTCAAAACTCATAAAACTAATTTAACTTAGGAAAAGAACACCAAGGTAACGAAACAAAAACGCACAAAGACGCACTCTAATTTAACTCTCTTTCCAACACCGAGCGACTCACGCTCGTGCTGGTCACAATTGATTTCTAAGGACTCTGTTTTGGTCGTCAAGGGCCCTGCTTTTGTGCTTTTCTTAACCTACGCTTCACCTCCCCGCAGGGACCACGCAACTTAATTTTGTTACCCAAAATAACTTTTCCATTTGCTTCTAGAAAATATTGATCGGTTTATAATTTGTTTTTGTTGGTAATGGCCGATTCGCCATTTCTTTCCGAAATGGTATCCTACAGTATCAAACTTAAAAAATAAATGTAGTAATTTTAACAATATTTATCGAAACACTCTAAACGAAAATATAGTTCGGTTGTGCATGCATTACAAAACGTGACGCTGTCTTGCATTCAGATAGCTGAAATTCAATAAAAAAATATCGGTGCTGGACTGAACGTTAAAATTTCGTTTATATTTCACCTTTCTACCCGTGGGAGCGAAATTTTCTATCTATTCGACGAGTTTGTCGTTATTACGTAGAAATTATAATTCGGAATGAGCTGTAAAATAAATAAAATGTTATGCGTGATCGATATAACAAAAATAATTTGTTGAAAATTTCAGTGGGCGTGCGGGGGTGACTGGAGTGATGGGATGGGGCTAGAGCCCCATGGAGTTCGGGTAGACCCGTCTCCGGCCCAACTCCCCAGCCCCCTCCGCCATCGATATCGCCACAGCTCCTGCCAGCGTCGCAGAGGGCCGCCTCGATCGCGATGGAGGCCTCTAATAATCAACAACAGAGGAAGGAGCCACGCGTTCACAGGCCTTGCGCCTTCGACAAGGTATTTTCCTCTTCAGCCTTACTTCCATTACCGACCTCGCATCCTTCGAAATTAATCGGAGTAACAACACTGCGCCGTAGTATACTTAGTTACAGCGTAAATATCGATATCGCCGTAGTCATTTAGATGTAATCACCGGGACAAATGTATACGAGGATAAGTTCGAAATATGAATTTAGTACTTTAAAATAGGGAGAATTTTCTTGCGGGAGTACGCTCGCCAGCGCTTCGTCCGAGAGATATTGACTTTTAAAGTTATAAGACTTTGGTATAGTTATAAGAAGCATACTTGGAGTAGGAAGTATTTTTTGTTTTAAAGTCCTAAATTCATATTTTAAGTTTGACCGTTTAACTCTCGGGCATCCTAACTTCTCCGTAGCGCTTTGTTAAACTCTTCGACATGCTCAGATAATTCAGCCGATGTTAAATCGTAATGTAGACTCCCCGGATCTTCCTTAATAACCTTTAAGAGCGTTCCAGGAAGTACGATTACGAAAAGTTTCGCGATAACTTTTCCAATTTCTCCAACGTCAGATATAGTTACGATACATGTAGAAGATGACATGTTTTCAATTATCCAAAGTCAACTGTTTTCTCTTTGATACAACATTCAAAACTAATAATCCGTTTGGCTCAAAGCGATTTCCCGACTGCAAAGTTCTTTTCCTTCTGATCCTCCTCTTACCATACGTACAATATAATCTTACGTGGCTTAACTTTTTCCTATAATACGATACAGTGCAACAGCTTGTCTAATTTCCCCCATCTTGGTTTCTTACTAACGTATACTCGTCATGGAGAAGTGGCAGGATTTTGTGTCACGACGAGTATACTCGTCATGCGTAAAAAGTAGTGACCATTGGCTATTTAAATTGTAATTTTTGTGAAAAATAAAACATATTCTCAAATTTCAAGATGTTTAGAATATTTTGAGGCCGGGTCGGAATAAAACAAACAAATAAAAAATATGAATAATTTGAGATGAACTCATGCGTCCCCGTATGCATCGGCTGAAACAGCTTATCAGTTCGCATAACGAATTTATTTATGCGCGATGATAACGTTTTTTAGATGTAGCGTAAAAGGGGCAAAAGCAAAAGTCGGAAAGCTGATTTACGATAGGGTTCCTTCAGGGATGGTCCGCCACGGGACAAATGCGTGACGCTGACCAGGCGCTGAGCCCATTGATGGCTGCTGGCCCGAAGTTACCCAGCTATTTTTTGACGGTCACTAAAATTCATAGATATCCATAAAAACTAACCAATAAGAGAATAGATGTTAACGAAATAAGTAAATATTAGTAATAAAATTGTCAATTTTATAAAATAAACTCATCTTTTTGATCCAATATTTAACAGCGACACTTACTCTGTGATTGACGAGTATACTCGTCGTCGCTCGATTTTCGCGACACATATAGGTGATAACTGGTTAAATGCCTAGATATAATTGCGATCTTGGATAATCTCGAAAATTTTTCCCCATATTTCACGCACAGTTATTTTGACGCAGGGACGTGCGACGTAACCCAAGGATTCGAAAGAATTTATGGTTTAGCGTTGTTTTCGAATGATTCTTAACCTTTTGCACTCATGAGCGTGTTTCCATTACCCCTAAGTAGCTGCAAGAAGCTTCTCTGTGCTGAAGTCGATAACATTAGCAATGATAATTTTATAATAAAAATGAAAAATAATAGAAATTATTTTATAATAAAAATTATTTATAACAGAAATTACAAAATTAACGTCTAAACTAACGGTATGAAACTTATATTTCGGTATTTCGCGCATGGTTGCGTTATTTTAAGCTTAATATCGGCTATTAATTTTTATAATTTTGTCAAGTGGCGACCTAGAATCGTCCCTCCGCTGTCGAGAGTTAAACTATTTAACTTTCAGGCATCGTTTCATAATTTAATCGTTGGAAAGTCATGTAGCGGGATCGTTCGGTTCAGCTTTTGCGTCGAGTGCCACAGTATCGCGATGCGCAGTTTATAGTGCGTCCTGCTGCAACGCCTCCTCGTTGGCGGTCTTACTGATACTCCAGATGAACAAAGCGCAGTCGTGCCACTTGGCATTTTTCAGCATAAATCGAGACAGGCGCGATCGTGCCGCTTGGCACTTTTCCATAAGATTTTTTTCAACCACACCTACCACTTGAACGGTTAGGAAAATCCCCGAGGGAAGGTTATATCGACTCGACGTTTAATCCTTTCAGTGCTGCGAATTCGTATATCCGTTTCGCAAAATCGCGAGCAACGAGCTGCGAATAGTGTCACGGATGATACGGGTCAACGATCAACCCTTCGAATCCGATGATTAATTTTCGAATAAATTGGATTTCTGCAGGTTGTCCCATTTAAATCGGCCCAATCGAATGTCTTCGGAACTGTGGGAAAATAATAAAACTAGCGTTTTAACACTAGAACCACCGATCTTTAATGGGTACCTAACTATACGCGCACGAATTATAGTAATTGCAGCGATACGATGAATATGAGTGACTATATTGATTACAGTTCTTTCTTAACCCATTTGCATCATGGCCCTACTTGAGGTGCCGTGTCCAAACATCCGCGACGTTCAACCAACGACAGGCCCGTATCACCGCACGCAGTCGGTCGTATGTGCAGTAAATGACTTGGGAATTCTTCATGGAGTTTATTTAACATGGTACTTTTTAAAACAATTGATACACGATATTACATCGCAAACATTGCATTTTACATTTTTTTATAAAAAAGGAAAGGAAGAAAAATTATTTTATAAATAAAATAAAAAATAAAATAAAATAAAACACGAGCAAAACTTGTTAGGAATATAATGAACCGATGTAGGTGAGATGCTCACAAAAGGGATAGTCGCATACGAAGAATATTCAACGACTGATAATGAAAAAAAGTCACAGCTCGCGGATTATTCCGCGCTCGGTGATGGTAGACTGTCGTGGTTTGCGGATTATTCCGCGCTTGGATGCAAATGGGTTAATATGAGTGGATACCAATTTTATTCTTAAAGCAGGTGTATGTGTTCGGTGATTGGAAAAAGGAAAATTCTGGGACCAGTCATTTTGACTGGCTTGGTAGACCTAGTGTGAAATAGAAGAATAACCCTAACCCTTTGCGGTCCGGACAGATTTCGTCAATCGTTCATCCGCTTAGTACCGTTTACTTTGGAAAACATTTTTCAACTGACTAACGCAACATACTTATGAATAGATGGATGTATAAAATAAAAGTTTAAGATTTTGTAAACATTATTTTTCATTGTCCACAGCTTATAATTTACCATTTACCAACCACCGGTTTTCTGTCACAGGTTTCACATATATTATACGTAGTCTCTCTTCTGCTACCAGGAATATTTCGATCCGAACATACTGTGCAATCTTTGTGTTTACGCTACAGATGCAGTGTAATTATATGTAATGTTCCATCTAATCGCTGTTCCTTGTCGCTGGATGATGGTCGTCCTGTTTTTGTTGTTACACGCAAGTCCCCAACAAATCTAGCAAAAGTTCTTCTCTAAATTTTCTGTGGGAAATCTTCTGATTGCTCGAATTAACAGTAGATGCTTCATACGAAATAAAATCATTAACAATAGACGCTTCCAATCCCTAAAGAAAGAGTTTTCTCTTATCTTAAACGCTGTGTCGAGTGACGCTCGACGTGGGACCGTAAAGGGTTAATATTAGGCTATAAAATAGGTTAATGAAATAACCTAAATATTACAATAGAAAAATATTCTTAATGGAATCATATACTTTTTAACACTAGATTACCGGAGATTGGGTATATACCTGTTTTGCCTGAAACGAGTCAATTTGACTGAAACATCAAAATTGAAGTTTTTTGAAAAGAATAAAATTTTATTTTAACCGTTTGAGTGCCAAGCGGCGCGATCGCGCTTCTTCTATTTTGTGTCCAAAAGTGCCAGCGCTCTGAGTTGCGAAGCTGACAATCAGCGCGCTCGGTTGGTGAACGCGGAATATGAGAAGCGCCATCGCGCCGCTCGGCATTTTTGGACACGGAATATGACAAGCGCTGTCGCGCCGCTTGGCAAATATCGATTGGGAAACAATAATGACCCGTGGCACTCAAACGGTTAAAGAAACTTTATTCTAAACAATTTTTACATGTATATTCTGTTTTTAAAATACATTTTCTGCAGATTTTTGCCAGGCAATACGACCCTCGTTCGACAGGGTTGGGTGACGGTAGTTGGGATTAGGCTAACAAGGGGCCTGTCTCAACGTAAGTCCGCACGCGTGGCACCCTTGGACCTCGGTGGGCTAAGGGGCCATAAACTAGCAAATTGACAAGTTCGAACATGAAAACTCTCGCATCAGATTGTTTACAAAAAATTTGTATGCACGAGAAATAAGTTACACGTGTCTAAAACGACCAATTTTAAAAATATTTAACGAGTCAATTTGACTCACATCTGTCAAAATAGGTATAGCACATATGGCTCTTTGGAAGTAAGGAGTGGGAAGGGAAGGAATTAGTATTTGTATACATTTTATAATTCTATAAAAAACCAACATATGTTCTAAAAAAATTATTTAAATTTTTCTATATATATAGCAATAAAGTCGTAAATGAGTCAAATTGACTCACTCCGGCGATTTAGTGTTAAAATAGTAGGAAGTTATTGGCAATAAAATTGAAAAATAATTGGGAGTGCAAAGGTTTATCTTTTCGTTTTGTTATACCGATCGATGGAACTCGCCATTCTTCATGGGAGAGTGCTGAAGATTTTTAGTTTAGTTCAGATCGTGAAAGATCTTTGGTTTAGAAGATACTGTAATTTTAATGTGAGAGTATTAGTATTGTTTTAAAATTGATATTCAAAGCTATCTACACCAACTACAGTATAATGTACAATAAAATTATTAGTATTATCAGACAAATTAATAAATGTACAATATAATTAATGGTACCTTTGTTACGTTTAGTATCTTTTCTTTTACCAAGAATTTAGAATTATGGTTTAAATTTC